TCCACGGTTAGGTAGATTATATATTTCTGGACGACGCACGTGAATTGATAGTACGTGCGTATTATCTCCGCGTCAGATTTTCCGCGATCGCCGGCGTGATCTGGCTGTAACGTGCACTTTCGAGACTGGCATCAACGTTTGAACGCGTTCCAAATAGAGTTGTAGTTGCTGACTGCTCCCAATAAAACGAAACACACGATAACTTACCTACCTACGTTGTTTCAAGGTAATACAGATGTTTATTTTATACGAAATAAATTATTACTATTAGTGAGATCAATTCATTGTAATGATAAAACTACTGGAACAGTAGTTCAAAATAACTGGTAACTTTTGTAACTTTTTATTAAATTTATAGTACTACACATTCTGAAATTTCTCGTGATTTTTATTGCAATATGTAAATGATTAAGTTAATCGCATTTATTTCAACGTTTCATCCCTGTTTCAAAAAAGTATGTATAAAAAATAAACGTTGTGCAGCAGAAATACGTTAATCATCAATAATTCTAGTTAATTATTATTGCTACATAGTGTGCAATTTCCACTATGTAGCAATAATTTTTTAAATAATAAAATTTCTTTTTATAAAATTTCTAGAATTGCTGACGCAAAGAATTATATGGAAAAAATGTTTTGCTGAAATATCTAAAAATTCAGTTACAGATCTGAAAAAAATTTTGTTAGACTATCAAAGTAATTTTGTATGTAGAACGTTCAAGCTGGTTGCGAGAAAATCAAAACTTTTTGCAGTATTGTTTATCATGCTTGAATTTCCTACGTAATTATTTTGTTGGTTCAACAAAATTATAATTCTGTTGGACCAACAATTTCAGATCTGTCTGTCTAAATTTTTAGATACTTACTTCAGCAAAATCGTTCTCTTTTTAACTCTATTAATTAATAACTCTAGATTTAATTTATCTATCAAATATAGATTCACACAATGATTTCTACGAATAAAATAAGAAGTGAATTTTTTAATTATTATGCCACTCGAAATACTATTATCTTACGATCTTACATGATCAACAACACAAAGTACACATGTATAATCATGAAGAAATTTATCTTGTAATTAATTTAAAACAATCTTATCATAAAATATAAAAGTTAATGTATAACTAATTATAGAAGATATTTAATATGATTAATTTCAAAATGGTAGTATTAATAACATTGTAACTAACTAATCATTAATTACGCTTTTATTGTATCTCAAATACAATTACAAAGCAACGTTACGCTGAGAATATAATTATATAAATATGAGTATATGAAAGAGATAGCGGAACAAGGCAATCAACGTAAGTCCGGGCTTTTCTTCCGCCTTACTGCTCGCTAGAAGCATGTAAGTAAAAAGTCATTTTCCTTAACGGAAGACACATTCCGGAAAGTCCAACGAATCTCCACGCAGAGACCACCATTTTGTACCCGGACCGTGAGAGAAATAAATGGCCGCCGGGCAAATCGTATTTTATTTCGCGCTGGTAAACACGGTGAAGTGAGTTTACGCCTGACAGGACAAACAGTTACGTGTAACGATATTAATCCAAATGAACGTTTACTTGTCAGCATATTTCTCTTGCTCCTACTCGCGACAACAGGATTATTTTTGGGACGCGCTCCGCGAATGCAAAGTTAAACGTCGAGCACGATGAAATCCACCAAAACGACGACGATCGATTTTCCGTCGGAATAACAACAAAAATAAAAAGAATCGACACAGTGACGAGTAAAATGACGAGAGGATCGTCTGATCTAATTTACGAATGTCAAACGTGTATGCTTTCGCGAATTATTAAGATAAAGTTACCATCGCGCGATGATTGGCGATTCGTTTGAGTTCTATAAATTAAATGTGTCATCCCAGTCTCCTTTGGTGATAATTAGTGCGTTGTACAAGCTACCAACCCCGACGCGTTCAAATTAGATTCGTGTTTACACGAACGGCGACGCCAATCAGAAGATACATCTGATTAGAGAGTCGATGCAGCTCGTTAATTAACATGGCGCGCTTCTGGAAACTGATCTTATACGGCAATGAAAATTTAACGCTGTCGGATATTAGAAGTACAATTATTTCGGGTTTTATCCTCCAGTCGATCGAGACAAACGCAGCTGAAAGAAGAGAGAAAAAGACTTTATCTCGCGCTATAAAAAAAAAAAAAAAAATTAACATTTATCGTGCGCCCGTAATTGAGAATATAATGCGTTGCTTTTTTTCCCCTGGTAGGAGTTTCTCGCGCGCGTGTCGCGGAAAATATTTTCAGGTAAAGCGGAAAAACAGTACAAATGCCAGCAAACGGATAAAAACGCGGCGAGCTCGTCCGCTTTCGTGCAACGCATTTGTTATTTTAATAATCCCCTCCCTCGCTCCGCTCGCATTCTTATTTATCATACTTTTTTATTTTAATAACTGCACCTTCTCTCTCCTTCTCGCTCGCGCGCGCAACCTGGCTCGAAAACGAGCCAACAGCTAGCAGTAAATAGTCGGAAAAATGAGAGTCGTCGAGTTTCTGGTATATCGCACAGTTAGGTGCCGACCGGGGGAAACACCGCGAATTGTCGTAAATATTAATAATCCGGGAGTCGTCGACGGAGGCGGATGTCGGCGGTACGTAATTAGTGCTCCCTTCTTTTCGAGAAGCCGTTGGAAAATGTTTATGCCACGTACTAACCACCGAGGAAGAAATTACGCCAAGATCGTCGGTACTAGAAATTCTAGTTGCTTGATTAATCGTGCCGACCTTGGTTTAAACGCGGACAAGAACGCGAGATGGGACGAAGAACGAAATATCCAGAGTTAGTGCGGAATATTCTTGATTAGAATATTATCTGACAATTTCGTAAATTACAGTTAATAGCTTCGTCCAAGTGTATATGACCTAATGAAATCATAATATATTATCACAATTATCGCAAATTTAACGCATCATTTTGATAATTAAGATTAGTAAAGAGATTAATAAATTAATAAATAAACAATTGTCACTTGTAGCATATTTAACTTTAACCTTTACAGGACGAGAGTGGCGCTATTCTATTTTTCATGCAATTTCTATTCTTGTTCTTACCATTAATACTTGTTCTATCGCACTCCTAACATTAAAATTAGTAGTTAGATGGCTACATATACACACAAATAAAAATTTATATTTTTTTATATACTTAACAAACTTTATTCGCGCTTCACCGTTTGTGTAGAATACATGCCTTAGTCGATTTTATTCCGTACATTCTCAAAACTATATTTTTTTCGATTTACTTTTTTTTACATCAAAAACATGTTACAGTTAAACAATATTAAATGAAAATGAACTGAGAAATGTTTACCATAACTAAATAAAGAAAGCGACATTTGACGCTGATTAATATCGATAATATTATATTACTTGCCAATTTAATTTGTGATATTATACACTCCAGTTTCAGTCTAAAATTGAGTTTCATATTATTAGGCACTAAGATCCATAAACATTTAAAAAAAAAATTTTTTTTTTTTTTTCAGTAAAATATCAATTACAAACGTATTTAATATTAAGTACTGAACAGTCTCTGTAAATTAAATGATTAAATTGTAAATAAATAAAAAAAAATCTTTCTTACTTAATTTCGAGCTTATTTAATAAATCTCATTTAAAATGTAATTATTATAACACTCAGTATCAAAAAGTAAAAATTATGTATCTAATGACTTTTCACCAAAATGTCTCAGTGATAAAGTTTCCTTCCTTTTCACAAATTAGTTAGAGGATTTATCAAAAATTTAATATAACTGTATGTTAATTCTATTTTTAATTTATTTTTTTAATTAATTTTTTTTATTTATTCATTATTTCATAAATATACAAACTATGTTATTAATTCAAAAATTTACCGAAGAATATTTACGATCAATGTTATTCGGTAGCGAAAAAGTAGAAAATTTCTAAGATAAATTTTCAACAATTAAAACGTCGGTTCGCATGAATTTCCTTTTCAATTACTCTTCATAGCATACCGAAAGGACAACGGTCAGCGAAAAACGCAACACGAAAAAGACTCAAATAAGAGAAGGTAGAAATTAAAGGAAGAGACGCCTTCAAAGAAACCGGGAAGGAGAGATAAGTAGCTGCTGCAGCGGAGCGTGCTGTTTACGGAAATTAGCAATTCTAATATTTAGGCAAAGCGAGACAAATTTATTAATTAAGTCTAAAGTCTGGTCGTGCGTCGTAAGATACTTTTCGTTCACAAAAAGGGATAGTCAGGACAGTAATGGGAAATGAGAACGCGTAGATGATGAAAAAGGATGGAAAGGGGGAGAGGGAGGGAGGGGGAGAAGGTCAGAGAAGAAAAAACGAGAAGGTGGAGAACGTCGGACACTAGTTTGGAGAAGCAGGACGACAGTGTCCTCAGACGTGCGGCGCTCGGCAGGAAACTTTTAATTCCGTAACTCCCGGATTAAATTATCACGCCGAGACGATTGTCCCAGGAAAGATTAAGAAAGGAACCCTGGACTGGCTTGGCGACGACGTTGTTCCTTCGCAGAACCACGCACAATCGCGCTATAAAGACGAGAGCGAGAGAAAGGTGGAATATGGTAGAAGAAGAAAGGAAAAGAATGAGAGAGACAACGACGAAATCTCTTTTTCGTCTGCAGGACTGGTTGTTGCGCTCGGTTTAACTCGACTGCGACTCGTGGAGAAAGAGACATAGGGCGGGGATAAGAAATAAGGAGACGAGAATGCGAAGGGCAGTAAAAAGCTGAGAGTAAGTCTATGGAGTGAAATGAAGATGCGACGTTTATATGGGAGGAAAAAAAAAGAGGAAGACCGAAAATTCACGAATGGAATGAGAATAGCTGGGAGAGAAAGAGGCAAATGTAAGATTCATTATGCAGCAGGGGAAAGGAACGATACATTGCAGTCCGAGGATCGACGGAAAGTACGGAGAGTGCATCGAAAAGAGTAAGTACGGGATTCACGGGAGTCAGTTTTAAGTAGGTCCCCTTTGCGAGGTACTTCGATACAGGACGAGAGTAGAATGCACGTATCTGTTCAACGAAGGAAGGAACGCTAAGGAAGGAACGAGGTATAAGTGAAGCGAAAAAAGCAAATGTGTGGACGAGCGAGGATATAAAAACAGACGAAGCTGAATAATTGATTGCTGAAACGGTCGAAACGAACATTTTACTTCACTTAAGCTATCTTCTGTGATGATATAATTATCGAATATACAAAGCTA